GACCAGTCAGGGTGCCAGAGGGGGCCGCTGGACACGGGAGGACAGTGGAGAAGCGAGACAGGACAGGACCCCCAGAGGGGTCAGCCAGGGACACCGCAACCGGCCGTCTCAGCGGCGTGAGAGTGGTGCGGTCCCTAAAGAAGGAGCGAGACGCTCCAGAGTCAAGGGTGAAGGTGTGAGAGGCCGAAGCCGACACAGTGCCTGAGAGCGCGGACTCACCAGCACCTGAGAGCACAGACGCACTGGCACCTAGAGCTGCAGCCTCACTAGTACCTGACGCGGCAGTACCAATGCCCGGGTCGGGCGGGAAACACCGGTAACAGTCATCCTCATCACTACCAGTCACAGCATACATAGCAGAGAGAATAGCATCAAAGTCAAGATCATAAATAGCTACTCCAGCCCTAGACAGCTCTCCCTAGCGGGGGATCTCAGCGGCCTCCGGAAACTGCTGACGACAGGCGTCGGTCAGGCGGCCAAAGCAGCGACGGGCTGTGTGGGCGCCTCCACACCTCTCCCCCGCACGGTCACCGGTGCGAAGAACGTAGGGGCAGGGACCAAGCGCACCACCGCGCTGACGCTGCAAGTACCACTCACGGAGCTGCTGAGGGCCGGGGACGGTGCGAGAGCGCTGCTGCTGCTGCGGCTGCTGCTGCTGCTGCTGCTGCTGCTGGCGCTGACCACCCCCAGAGCTGCTCCGCTGGGACGAGCCACTCCGACCCCCGCCTCCACCGCCACCCCCGCCTCCACCGCCACCCCCGTCTCCACCGCCACCTCCCCCACCAGGACCGTCGCTCCCACCGCTCCCACCGCCTCCTCCGCTACCACCTCCGCCGCCACCTCCGCCTCCACCGCCGCCACTAGTACCTCCACTCCCGCCACCACCCCCACCGCCACCCCCACTCCCCCCTCCACCCCCACCGCCTCCTCCACCGCCCCCTCTAGCTCCACCCGCCCCCTTGCCCCCCTTGCCCTTGCCAGAGCGGCGTCTGCCGCTGGGGGCAGACGCCGCGCCGACCGACTCAAAACCAGCGAGGTCGGCCGCAGCGGCAGAGGCGACAGAGGGCAGCAGGGGGGAAGGACCACACCCCTCAAAGATGGGGGTGCGAGGGTCACCCCGAGAGGCCCCTACAGCGACAATACTCTTCTCAGCCGCTAGCAGGGACTCCTCAAGGAGGTCGACAGTGAGAGTGGTGGGACAGACAGAGAGAAACTGGTCCCTAACGACACGAAGGGACTCAGGGAGACGGGTGACGAGAAAGTAGAGAGTGATGTACATGGGAGGAGGGTTCGCAGCGCGGAACTCAGCAGGAAGGGCAGCACGGTAGCGGGTGTCACTAGCGCGGAGGTGGGTAACTAGGTCACCAACAGTGGGAAAGGAAGCGAGGTCAGGGAAGAGAAACGGCAGCATGAGGCGGCTAAGGGTAGCGGAGGAAGGAGAGGAGTAGCGTGCAACTACAGCGTCGTACAAGGCCTGAGCGGTCTTGCACTGACTAAAGTGGGCACGCTCAGAGGAAGGGAGGTGGCGACGCACAGCAAGACGTGCAGCAGCATCGCGGGTCGCCCACTTGGAGCGAGCAGCAGAGTCAGCATCAGCAGGCGGGGCAGGGACAGCGCCAGAGACAAAGTCAAAGAGAGAGACCTCATCTATCGCATCACACAGTAAGTACAGCTGCAGGTCTTCAATCCAGACAGCAAAGTCAATGGCCCTCCCCTCAGCGTCAAAAGTAAGAACATTGGGGGTGGCCATGGCAGCAGCTGAAAGTCTCACCGGGCTAGGAGAGTCGGGTAGGACAGCAGCAGGCGGCTCGGGCTGGTGGGGCGGCTCGGGCGGCTCGGGCGGCTCGGGCGGCTCGGGTACCGGGCGGCTCGGCTGCTGCTGGGCGGCTCGGCTGCTGCTGGGCGGCTCGGCTGCTGCTGGGCGGCTCGGCTGCTGCTGGGCGGCTCGGCTGCTGCTGGGCGGCTCGGCTGCGGCTGGGCGGCTTGGCTGCTGCTGGGCGGCTCAGCTGCTGCTGGGCGGCTCGGCTGCGGCTGGGCGGCTCGGCTGCTGCTGGGCGGCTCGGCGGAGCCGTCAGGGTGCAGCTGCGGGGCCGGGACAGGGGACGGCGGGGCCGTCAGGGTGCAGCGGCGGGGCCGGGGCAGGGGACGGCGGGGCCGTCAGGGTGCAGCGGCGGGGCCGGGACAGGGGACGGCGGAGCCGTCAGGTGGCAGGCCAGCAGGCGAGGTGGCGAGCCGTCAGGTGAGGCGGCGGGGCCGTCAGGTCAGGTGGCGGGCCAACAGGTGAGGCAGCGGGGCCGTCAGGTCAGGTGGCGGGCCAGCGGGTGAGGCGGCGGGCCGTCAGGTGAGGTGGCAGGCCAGCAGGTCAGGCGGCGGGCCGTCAGGTGAGGCGGCGGGGCCGTCAGGTCAGGTGGCGGGCCAGTAGGTGAGGCGGCGGGCCGTCAGGTGAGGCGGCGGGGCCGTCAGGTAAGGTGGCGGCGGGCCGTCAGGTGAGGCGGCGGGGCCGTCAGGTAAGGTGGCGGGCCAGCAGGTGAGACGGTGGGCCGTCAGGTGAGGCAGGGGGGGGCGTCTGGTGAGGTGGCGGGCCAGAAGTCGAGGCGGCGGGCCGTCAGGTGAGGCGGCGGGGCCGTCAGGTAAGGTGGCGGGCCAGTAGGTGAGACGGTGGGCCGTCAGGTGAGGCGGGGGGGGGGGCGTCTGGTGAGGTGGCGGGCCAGAAGTCGAGGCGGCGGGCCGTCAGGTGAGGCGGCGGCCGTCAGGTAAGGCGGCTGCGGGGCCGACAGAGGTGCAGCGGGGGGGGGGGGCCTGCTGCAGCGACGAAGAGGCCGCGCGGCCGTCTTGAGGGCGGCGCGGCGCGGCAGAGCCGAGAGGGCGGCGCGGCGCGGCTGTAAGGGCCGCGCGAAGTGGGGCCTGGGCCGCGCGCGCGAAAAAAAATGAGTCGCGCGCGCGACTCTCGGGGCGCCACAAGGGCAGCTCGACGTGCACTAGGGGGAGCGCGCCTCGGGGAGAATAGGGCGCGCTCCGGGCAGGAAAAAAAAAAATCGTGGGTGGGCCCAAAGAACGGTCCTTAGGAGGGACCCGCTCTATACCATGTGAAACTAACTGAACAGGAATGAATTGACTAAGTCAGAGTTGGGTACAAATACAACCCTAGCAAACTGTACCCCATAAGTGCTACCCCACTATAGCCTACAAACATGCATCAGCTATAATAATCTGACAGTTTGAACATGAAACTAACCACGAAACGACAAAATGACAGCAATGCAAGGCATTGCGCTCAACTGCCCCAAGCCACAGTCATTCCTTGACGACAGAGAGCCATCTTGTGCTCCCTCTTCCTCTAGATTTACACCCGTTGGTTTTCAGTCACTTTGCCTTTGGTGTTCGATGGCTGTGTCTCGGGTCCTTAGTCTTCAGTCTTCTGCTTCTATTATTTCGCCCTTGCTGCCAACTGTTGGTCTTCCTGCGCAACATTGACAGTGTGTGAACCGATGCGAGTGTGTTCGCAGATGATTCTGGAATTTCGCTGAGAGGTGCGCTGATAAGTTCCCTTGTTATTTCATCGTTGTTTGGAATTTTCGTATCAAGCATTCTTGCTGTTCCTATTGGCCTTTTTGTTACGCCGACGTCCTATCCGTCGTACCTGTTCAATGCTTCGGCTCGTATTTTCAGCGCTTTCTGCCTCTTTACGACGGGTTTTATTGCCTTTTTTGTTTCCTGCTTTGCCGATTCTCACTCGTTTTTTTGTTAACCGTTCTTTGCGTTCCCTTCTAGTCCCTATTCCAGAAAGCGTCGCCACGGTTCTACGACACTTCATTGTCGTAACTCACTCGACTGCACCTCGTCGCGTAAATGCGTGCGGACGATGGGTCGCCGCAGCCATGTCCTCGTGCCTTCAGCTCTGCCGCCGAGAGTGGCGGCGAGAGATGCGTATGTGTCGCCGGGAATAGCGCTACTGCTACCGAGTGCGACTGCACCATCTCTGGTTTTCTCTCCCATGCTCCAGACTACCCCCAATGATTTCCCCTCCTGTGCCTACGGCTTTCCCCCACACCCTCCTCACCCTTCTGTTTTCTCCCAATACAGTCGTTCATCCAGAAGGCCAGTCAGGAATAAGGTTGTGCAAGCTAGGCTGGTGGGATTCGTGTCTTATGTCAAATAACCGTTTCCCTAAATAATCCCATTGTTGGGCTTATTAGTGCAGCACATGTAAAATTGTTATATTGCGTTGTGATTCATAATTTCGGGTTGCAATTTCGTGTACCGTTAATTTGAAATTGTCATTATTTATGAGGATTTAAAAATATTTTTTTATTTGACCCAGAAATGTACACTTCGGATATCAATACCAATTAATATTATGATTCGGTCACATGGTTTAAGTATTAATTGAGCTCTATATCATCATTAATGAAGTCTTCGTTTATCGGCATTAGAAAAAGAAGTGTACGGCTAAAGTCTATCACATTTATTCATTCATTGCATCGACGAATTAGAACTTACCACGTGCATGAATTTCACTCGGTTCCAATCTACGCGGGAAACCTACAACGCCAAATCTCGATTCGCGGCTTCCCAAACCAAATCAATCAGCATCGAGAATGACGAGTTGCGATTGGTCAAACCAGTTCATAGTTACGAGGGGGTAAATTTTCCATAGCACGTAGATGTGCGGCTGCGATTGGGCGACAACAATTTCGAAGAAGTCTCTATCGGGCCAATTCCAGCCAAAGTTACTACCAGGAATGTTGGCCACAATCTTTGAAGTCTTCAAAAAATTACCGAGAAGTTACCCTACAGTTGCTCCTACGTAAGAATCGAAACCAGCACATTTTGGGATGTGGCGTTTCTGGTGGTTAGTCCGAACCTTCACACGCGCTGGACTGTGATTGTAACGAGCGACTTAAATTCGGAAGGTGGTCTTCGAACGAGTGAAGGTGACAGAAACGAGCGGGTCCCTACTAGCTCCAAGGTGGGGGGGAGGGAGTGCGACGATAGCTACAATGGCGACGATCGTATGGCGACGCGTCTGGAGGAGATTCGCGAGTGGCTCAAGTTTCGAGGATGCTTGTCGCCGCGTGAGTTGACGAAACTGGCAAGCCCTTTCTAGAAACATGTTACCACTGTACAATGTACAGTGGTATATGATAGGGTAAAGCTGTTTCCCCTTTTATCTTTCAATTTATATTTCTCCACATCATCAAGCAACTTCCTTTGCTCTTTTGTCCTTCATTTTGCACCCTTTCTGTCCTGCCAACACGGATGCTCTCTTAAAAAAATAATAGAATCTCATTCCGAGCCCCCCTGCTTTCCCTTCCCCCAACCTTTGGCCATTCGGACTCCCTACTCCCCTTTCCCCCCCTCCCCATTTTGTTCCCCTCCAGACCCTTCCCCTTCCGTTCTTTTACCCCCCTTCCCCACCCCTCCCCCCCAATTTCCCCATTCGCCCCCACCTGTTCCCCCCTTTCCCCCACTTCCCCCCAGTGGACCTTCCTTGCTCCATTTCCTTTCGGGAGAAGCCCGTACCTCTCAGCCGTACGATCTCCATGATCAACGGTGCACATGCAGCCTGGAAAGACGCCCATAGTGCTGCCTTCATGCCACATCAGCAGCCAGCTCATCAAAATCTGCAAGATGGGATGCTTCTAAGCCAACTGCGTGGGTCAGTGGAGCACACACGTGGCGGCTCTGCGGATTGCCACGTGGCAGGCAGCAGTGTGGTTTGCGTCCCACTTTCTGAACCGCACGGGGCACAAGAGATGGTTAGAAAGGCGGCTGGGACTTTGCTGCCTGGCGCCGCTGCTGCTGGTTTGGGAGAGGAGGGAGGAGGGGGAGGACGAGGGGGAGGAGAAGGAGGAGGAGGAGGAGGAGGAGGAGGAGGAGGAGGAGGAGGAGGAGGAGGAGGAGGAGGAGGAGGAGGAGGAGGAGGAGGAGGAGGAGGGAGGAGAAGGGGAGGAGAGGGGGAGAGGGGTAAGCCTAAGGGAAGCTTACCTTCTCGTGTCTATCACACTCGCTCTTCATCTTCCCCTGTATGGCTTCTAGAGATGGATTTTGACATGCCAGGATCACCACAAAGCGGTAGTGAATCTGCTTATAGCGGATCAGATGCTAGTGAAAGGTACGGGTCGCCACAAGCGAGCAAGTCGAGGTTGAAAAAGAGCGGTTTGGGCCGGGGGTTGGGGCTGGTAAGTGAAACACTTAGACAAAAGGAAGAGGAGAGGGAGGAGGATGTGGGAGGAGAAGAGATGAGGAATGGGAAGCCACTTGTTACGGATAGCTCTGGGGTAAAAAAGGGTGGATTTCCTTTTAAATTGCGGGGCAGTGGGAAGGAGGGAAAGGAGGGAAAGGAGGAAACGGAAGAGAAGGAGGAAGAGGAGAGAAAGGGGAACAGGGAGGGGGAGGAGGAGAGGATGGAGGAGGAGCAAGGAGGGAGGAGTGGAAGGAGAGAGGGAGACGAAAAGGTGATGCGGATTGTCAAAAGTAACTCCAGTGATGAGGAGAAAGCGAAGAAAGGGATGCTACAGAAGCTGTTTAAAAAGGGGACAAAACGATTTGATAAATCCTTTGGTGATAGTGATGGGGATAGTGATAAGGTTGACAGTGGTGAGTATGAGGAGGAGTGCTCATATAGCGAGGAGGAAGTGAGGGAGGAGGGAGTGAGAGCGGAGGGAGTGAGAGGGGAGAAGGATGAGAGGAATATGAACCAGCTGAGTGAGAGCGGGAGTAGCAATGATATAAGCAGCAGCATTAACAATGCAAACACTAGCAACACTAGCAGCAGCACCACCACTAGCAGCAGCAGCAGCAGAAGCAGCAGCAGCAGCAGCAGCAGCAGCAGCAGCAGCAGCAGCAGCAGCAGCAGCAGCAGCAGCAGCAGTAGCAGCAGCAGCAACACCACCGCCTCTAGCAGCAGTGGCAGAAGCAAGGGCAAGGATTGGCGGCGAGCGCTTCACATTCCCAAGCCTTCATTCTCCAAGAAGACATTCAGCACTTTCCCTACCTCTTCCTCTCTTAACAGTTCCCCCTTATCTCGCCTCTCCTCCCTTCTCTCTTCCCCTCTCGCCTCCCCTCTCGATTCCCCTCTCTCCTCCCCTCTCGGCTCCTCCCTCCTTTCCACTCTTCCCCATTCCACTTGCTTTCGACCGGGTGCTCTCTCCCCTCCATCCCCTCCCGTTGCCAAGGCTGATAGCAGCAGCATTCCCATTAGTAGCACACTCAATAGCGGCAGTGTAAGCATCCGGATCATGACTTTTAATGGGACATCCCATCTGGAACAGAAACATACTGAAACGCGTATGGGAGGAGGGGGAGAAAGTAAGGAGGGAGGAGGGGGAGAGAGGGGGAGGGGTGGAGGGGGAGAGAGTGGGAGGGTAGGAAGGGGAGAGAGCAGCAAGGGAGAGAGAGAAGAGGGCGCAGGTGTAACGTGTGGAGTGGGAGGAGTGGGAGGAGTGGGAGAAGCAAAGAGGAGGGCCAGTGACAGTGACACTGGCAGCGGAAGGGGCCGTGGCAGTGGCATTGACAGTGGCAGGGGAAGGGGAAGAGGAAGGGGAAGGGGAAGGGGAACGCACAGGCGTGCTCAATCTGACACCGATGCCTGTCTCAATGTTACCCTCTCCCCTTCCCTCCTTTCAGCTCTCTCCTCCTCCTCCTCCTCCTCCTCCTCCTCCTCCTCCTCCTCCTCCTCCTCCTCCTCCTCCTCCTCCTCCTCCTCCTCCTCCTCCTCCTCCTCCTCCTCCTCCTCCTCCACATCTGCTAGCTTTGATACTGCTGGTAACCACACTAGCATCAGCAGCAGTGGTAACCGCACTCTCAAGAGCGGTCGTTACACCCCGAGCAACGCACAGCCCGTTGCTAACATCAAAGGCCAGGATTTCTCGGAGAACGGTTGCAACGGGCATCTGACCGTCCATCTGCAACGGCAGACTCTGCGTCGAATCCCAGCCACTCTTTGCCTGCTCGTGCTCTCTCCATTTTCCCCACTGGCAGCCCCACCCCACCTCTCTCTGCTGCTGCTGCTGATGCTGCCGCTGATGCTTCTGCTGATGCTTCTGCCGCTTCTGCTGCTGCTGCTGCTGCTGCTGCCTCTGCCGCTTCTGCTGCCACTTTTGCAAAAGTAAACAGACGACACACCACCGGCAGTCAGCCTAAGAACCTTCCCCTCATCACCACCTCCTTACGCAGCAGCACTGTCGGCACCAACCGCAACACTGGCGGCACCAGCAATGCTAGCAGCAGCACAGGCAGCAGCAATTCTAGCAGCAGCAGCAGGAGCAGCAGCACCAGCAATTCTAACAGCAGCGGCAGTAGTATGGGCAGCAAGAGCAGCAGCAGCAGCAGCAGCAGCACTAGCGTCACCAGCAATTCTAGCAGCACCGATTATATTAGCAGCAAGAAGGGCAGCAGCAATCGTGAGACGCTGTTCCAAAAGGCATGGAAGGGCAGACGAAAGTTGAGCCTGGATGGGGTTGGAGTGGGCTTTGAGTCCTCTCATGTTGCAAGGATGGGTGCGCAAGCGGTAGGGGTGAGTGAGTGTGAGAGTGGGACGGGTTCTGAGATGTCTGGTAAGGCAAGGATGGGTGGACAAGAGTTGAGGGTGGATGGGAGTGGGAGGTGTGCAGGTGTTGGGATGGATCTTGATACACAAAAGGGGTGTATCGAGATTCCTAAGAGTGTTTCTGATGTTGGTGTTTTGGAGAGAGGTGGTTGTGGTGATAGTGGGGAGTTTTCTAGTGAGGATGAAAGGGAGGTAGGGAGTGGAACAAAATTGGCGAGTCCGGATTCGAGCTGGTTCAGTGCAGTGAGAGAGAAGGGAAGAGAGAAGGGAAGAGAGGATGGAAGAGAGGAGGGAAGAGAGGAGGGAGGAGAGGAGGAAGGAGGAAGGTGGGGCAAGGAAGGAGACGGAAGGGGAAGGGGGGAACAAAGAGGCAGCAGGTGCAGCTTCGCTTTTGATTCTCTTTCTGGAGCTGTTACAGGTGCTGCTACAGACATCAGCACCATTACAGGCGCTGCTACAAGAGACGTTTTTGGTGCTGATGCTGCTGCTACTGCTGCTGCTGCTGCTGCTGCTGCGACTACTTCTGCGGTTTCTGGTGGGAACACTGCTGCTAATTCTGCTGCTGCTTCTGTTGCTCCTGCAACTACTGTTGCTGCTAACAACGAGGCACCTCGCCCTACAAGCCACTTGACTCATAACAACAGCTTCGAGTTCGGCACGTTACTCCCAGGTTCGGCAGACCGAGGCTCAGCAGACGGAGGCCCGGCAGGCGGAGGCTCAAGAGATGAAGGCGATGGAGGTGTGGAGATCCAAGGTTCGGACCAAAGCCTCAGGGCTTTGGCAAGGCGCGGTTAGGGTCACCAGTGAAGGTTTGGAAAGGCCGATGGTGGTTCCCTGGGGTAATAAAGTGGGCCAGCGTTTCTCGTCCTTTTCTGGATTCTCGGAGCTAAGGGCAGTTGGAGAAGGAGGAGGAGGAGGAGGAGGAGGAGGAGGAGGAGGAGGAGGAGGAGGAGGAGGAGGAGGAGGAGGAGGAAGAGGAGGAGGGAGGAGGGGGGTACTCTGTCAGAAAGGTCTGCAAGAAAAGGTCAGCGTTTTTTTTACTTGGAACAGGAGGAGAGAGGGAAAAGGGAGAGTAAGGGTGGTGCTTTTGGGGTACCGGAGAGAAAAGATGCGGAAGGAGAGAGGGAAAACGGAGAAGGGGAAATGGGAGAGGAGGGCGATGAGGAGAGTGACGATGAGAAGGACGATGGACTCACTCTGATCGCCACCCCTCTCTCTACTCCTGCTATACCCTCTCCTGTAGGGAATTCGTTAAGCCTTTCTCCTTCCGGCTTTTCTGATGGGGAGATGGAAAAAGAGGGGGAAAGGGAGGAGGGGAAAGAGGAGGAGGAGGAAGAGGAAGAGGAAGAAGAGGAGGATGAGGAGGAGTGTACTCCAATCGCTACGCCTGTGGCATTTTCCCGGTTTAGAATCCTTCTCTCTGTGTGCCCACCGCCAGGGCCAGGGCAGCCGAAAGAGTCCAGGTTCAATGTACCCGGAAAGGAGGAGAGGAAGAAAATGGGTGCTGGGGAAACGGAGGGGCAAGAGAAGGGTGTACGGTTTGTCATCCCAAGCAGGAGGGCTAGGGGGGTTTCAGGAGCCTCTGCTGCTTCCGCTGGTGCTGTTTCAGGTGGTGCCGTTTCAGGTGGTGGGAGCATTAGCAAGCCCAGACACAAGCAGTGCCAGTCGTTTTCCGGCTTTGACTTTGGCTTGATTGCGAATGGACAGACGTTTCTTGCAGACGATCAGCCAGAAGAGTCCATGTTCAATGCACTTGGAGAGGCGTTTCTTGAGGATCAGCCAAAAGCGTCCATGTTCAATGCACCTGGACAGACAGTGTTTGAGACCCAGCCGGAGACGGGTGGCAGGAGAACGTTGGGGCGAAACGGGGCGATACGGCAAGGCAAGATGGGACGAGAAGATAAGGGAAGAGAAGAGGGGATGGGAAGGGAAGCGGGTGCGAATGACGGCAATACACGGGTTCCCATCCCAAAGGGAAGAACTGGGATTTTGAAAGCAGCCGCTGCCGGTGCAGCCGCTCCTGCCGCTCCTGCCGCTTCTGCCGCTCCTGCCGCTTCTGCCGCTCCTGCCGCTGGTGGTAGGGTATCAGCAGGTGGTAGAGTGTTAGCAGGTGAAAATTCAGGTGGTAGAGTGTTACCAAGTGAAAATTCAGGTGGTAGAGTGTTAGCAGGTGAAAATTCAGGTGGTAGAGTGTTAGCAGGTGAAAATTCAGGTGGTAGAGTGTTAGCAGGTGAAAATTCAGGTGGTAGAGTGTTAGCAGGTGGAGTTTCAGGTGGTGGGGGCAGTGGTAAGTCCAGGCACAGGCAATGCCAGTCGTTTTCTGACTTTGACTTCAGCTCGATGGCACCTGGAGAGACGTTTCTTGAGGATCAGCGAGAAGAGTCCAGGTTCAATGCACCTGGACAGGCATTTCTCGCGGTGGATCAGCAAGAAGAATCCAGGTTCAATGCACCTGGACAAAAGCCAGAGGGAGGTCGGGTGGCGGGTATGATTCGGGACAAAACAAGGCAGTATGGCAAGAGAGGGTGGGGCGAGAAGAGGGGAGGGGACAGGGAGAGGGTGTGAGGGCCAGCAATGTACGGGTTCCCATCCCAAAGGGAAGAACCGGGATTGCCAAGGCTGCTGCCGCTGGTGCTGCTGGTGGGGTTTCTGGTGGTAGGATATCTGCAGGTGAAATCTCAGGTGGTGGGGGCAGTGATAAGTCCAGGCACAGGCAATGCCAGTTGTTTTCTGACTTTGACTTTAGCTTGATTGCAAATGGAGAGACATGTTTTCAGGATCAGCCAAAAGAGGTCAGATTCAATGCACCTAGACAGACGGATATTGAGGCGCAGCCAAAAGAGCTCAGGTTCAATGTACCTGGACAGGAAGAGAGGGGAAACAAGGGTGGTGGGGCAAAGCAAGGGCAAGAGGGGGGAGCACGGAAAGAGGGGGTGGGACGAGAAGAGGGTGTGCAGGCCAGCAAAGCACGGCTTGCTGTCGCAAGGGGAAACACGGGGGGTTCTGTTGTTGCTGCTGCTGCTCCTGGTGGTGCTGGTGGTGGTGGTGGGGTTTCGGGCGGTGAGGATTCAGGTGGTGGGGTGTCAGCAGGTGAAATTTCAGGTGGTGAGGTGTCAGCAGGTGAAATTTCAGGTGGTGGGGTGTCAGCAGGTGAAACTTCAGGTGGTCGAGGCAGTGGCAAGCCCAGGCACAGGCAGACCAAATCGTTTTCCGGCCTTGACTTTGGATTGAACGAGTGGGATATGGGGGAGAGCAGGGAGGGAGGGAGAAGAGAGGGGATAGCGAGCAGAGGGGGTAGAGAGGAGGGCTCTAGCGGTTGGGCGAGAAGGAACCAAGGAGAGAGAGAGGAGCAAGGGGGTTTGTCACTTAGAGTAGCGAAGCTTGCAGTTGGGGTGAAAGGAAGGGGAGGAGAGAGAAGGGGGGATGGAGGAATGAGGGGAGGGGGAGGAGGAGGGGAGCTTCCAAGCTTGCTGTCACCACGAGCAATGCCGATTGCTTCTGGGGTGAAGGGAGGGGGAGCAGAAATAGAGATGGATGGAGGAGGGAGAAGGGGAGTGGAAGAAGGTCGAAGAGAGAAGGATGGGAAAGGGAATGGGCAAGAAGGGGTGGGAAGGGAAGGAGGAGAGGGCAACGGAGGGAAGGGAAAGGTAGATGAGGTGCGGCGAGTGGCAGTCGGTGGCGGCAGCAGCAGCAGCAGAGGCACAGGCGTTGGCAGGAGCATCGGTACGGTCACTGGTGGGAGTATGGATAGGATTAGGGACGGAGATAGCTTGAGCAAGGACATGAGGGAGAATATCGGTCGGAGCACCAGCTATGGGTCTGGCAGCCTTGCCACATCCTACCCCACCGGTATCAAATCCCCAACCGGGATCAAATCTCCCACCGGGATCAAATCTCCCACCGGGATCAAATCTCCCACCGGGATCAAATCTCCCACCAGAGGAGCGGAAGGAATAGGGGTACCCAAGTCTCCTCGGGGAATGGGCAGGAGGAGCATCGTGCCTTGGAAACCTCCCACTCAAGGCCTTCTCAGCAAGAGCCTCAACTCCCCACGAGCAGCAGCAGGAGGGGACACAGCGGCACCCAAGTCTCCCCGAGGTGGAGGAGGAGGAGGCGGAGGGTTGTGGAAACGGGGAGAAGCAGCAGCCGTAGCAGCAGCAGCAGCAGCACGGGAAGGAGCAGGGGGAGCGGCAGGGGGAGCAGCAGGGGGAGCAGCAGGGGGATCGGCAGAGGGAGCAGCAGGATGGGACTCAGGTGTACCCAAGTCGCCTCGAGAGGGGGCTGTGAAGGGAGGGAGTGGGAAGGAAGCAGCAGCAAAGGCGATGGCGAGACACAACGAGGCCTTGCGGTTGAAACGAGCGGCTCAGGCTCACTCCGCTGCTTCTGCTGCTAATGCCGCCACTGCTAATTCTGCTGCTAATTCTGCTGCTAATTCTGCTGCTAATTCTGCTGCTTCTGCTGCTGATCCCAGTGCAAACGGTGTTGCTGCTGCAACGGCCACAGCAACAGCAACAGCAGAAGCAGCAGCCAGAGCAACAGCAACAACAATTCCTGCCTCACCAGCAGAGGCAGCTCCGGCCTACCTCCCCGGCCCCCTCTCGCAGCTTCCCGGAACCTTCTCAGCAGTTTCTCACCTGCTGCAATCGTCTGGCCTCGGCGCGTGGCTCTCTCCCGGAGCTAGCCCTGCTGGTTCGGCCACCCACACACCTGCTGGCTCAGCAGCACACACCCCTGCTGGTTCGGATGATGACAGCAGCCCTCGCAAGCAGAGACCTGCTAGGCTTCGCCGGATGGGAGATCAGCAGCAGCAGCAGCAGCAGCAGCAGCAGCAGCAGCAGCAGCAGCAGCAGCAGCAGCAGCAGCAGCAGCAGCAGCAGCAGCAGCATCAGCAGCAGCAGCAGCAGCAGCAGCAGCAGCAGCAGCAGCAGCAGCAGCAGCAGCAGCAGCAGCAGCAGCAGCAGCAGCAGCAGCAGCAGCAGCAGCAGCAGCAGCAGCAGCAGCAGCAGCAGCAGCAGCAGCAGCAGGAGGAGGAGGAGGAGGAGGAGGAGGAGGAGGAGGAGGAGGAGGAGGAGGAGGAGGAGGAGGAGGAGGAGGAGGAGGAGGAGGAGGAGGAGGAGGAGGAGGAGGAGGAGGAGGAGGAGGAGGAGGAGGAGGAGGAGGAGGAGGAGGAGGAGGAGGAGGAGGAGGGAGAGCAGGTACAGGGAAGAGTAGGCGGAGCAGATCAGAGGGTGCTTTGTTCTGGACGAGTGGGATCAGAAGGAGCGAGAGGTCGGGCACGGGTGGCCCGGCCGAACCTGGAGAGCGTGCAGGCGTCGTGGGTGCATGAGGATCCCGAGGATGACTCTGAGTATGCTGGGTGGGGTGCCACTTCCAAGGAAGGGAAGGCAGCAGAAGCGGGGTTTTGAGGTCTGCTCCTCGTCGTTCAGATGCTGTCGTGGGCGTGTGATAACCCTTGGATAAGTGGGTGTGCGTATTCCAATTCTTTCTTTCATCATCACTTCTATGAACTGCTCAAATTGCTTAATTCACCATTTTGGAACGTAAAGAAATTCTAATATTGTTTTTTTCAAACAGGCGCAGGGGCTTCGGGCTGGTGAAGAAAAGCTACGGTTGGATCCCATATGCGACAGACTTTGTTGAGGAAACAGTCGATTAAAAACAAATGAATAGAAATCCGAATGATTGAAGACAGAATTTCCTTTCCATGGGCAGAGCGGGAGAGACAGAGGGGGATGGACAGCTGAGGGGCGGATGGTGTCACAGTGAAATAATGATTGATGGGCGGGGAACAGGAAGGGAATGGGCGGGGGAGATGAGAAGGACAGAAGGGGAAGGACAAGGGGAAGAGGGGGAAGGACAGAGGGGGAGAGACAGAGGGGGATGGACAGCTGAGGGGCGGATGGTGCCACAGTGAAATAATGATTGATGGGCGGGGAACAGGAAGGGAACGGGCGGAGGAGATGAGATGGACAGAAGGGGAAGGACAAGGGGAAGAGGGGGAAGGACAGAGGGGGAGAGACAGAACAGGTGGCGAGGAATAGGGGGGAGGACAGAGGGGGAGAGACAGAGGGGGAAGGACACAGGTGGAGAGATAGAGGGTGAAGGGCTGAGGGGGAGAGACAGACGGGGAAGGATGGAGGGGGAGGAACAGAGGGGGAAGGGCAGAGAGTGAGAGACAGAGGGTGAGAGCGGGTACTTCCCTCACTCCCTCTCCCCATCGACCTCACTTCCCCCTGATTGCTTACACCCCTCATTATTTTGACCAACCTCCTTTTCTCCTACCAGCTCTGTTCACCCCCCAATCTATTCTCCTTTGCCTCACCTGCTTCCCCCCTCCCTCCTCCCGGCTTCCCCCCTCCATCCCCCCTGCTTCCCCCTTCCCTCCGCCCTGCTTCGTCCCTCCTTCGGCCATGCTTCCCCCATCCCTCTGCCCTATCCCCTTCCCTGCTTCCCCCCATCCCCTTCCCCCCATCCCCTTCCCTGCTTCCCCTCATCCCCTTCCCCCCATCCCCTTCCCTGCTTCCCCCCATCCCGTTCCCTGCTTCCCCCCATCCCCTTCCCCCCATCCCCTCTCTCTCTCCTTCCTTCCGCACTCTCACTCTCCTTCCTCCCACACTCTCTCTCACTCTCAGTCCTCTCGCACTCTCTCACTCGTCCTCTCGCACTCTCACTCACCTTCCCACCACCCTCAGGCCTCCTTCCCCCCACCCTCTGCCCTGTTCCCTACCTGCCCACTCAATCCCTGCCTTTCCCTCCCTGCCCTGCCCCCCCATCCCTTCTCAACCCTTTCCTTCCTTTTCATGCACTCCCCTTCCCCCTCACTCCTCACCTTCCGCCCTCTAGTTCCCATGCATGTGCACCCATCACTGTCACCCCTTAAATTTCAGTGGTGAAGCAGAGGAGCAAGCTGAGGCGTAGCTAGTCGATGCTTTACACCGTACCACTGCCTGTTTCTTGTCTGTTGTATGCAAGCATGATATGAGAACACTGTTGGCATGGGATGATGGGCTGAGGCGAGTTGCAGTACCAGAAAAAGACTTCAGCGTAGTCACTGCAATAGCCAGGGAGAGGGAGGGAATATGGGGAGGGGGGACAAGAAAATAGTCAAACAGGGGAGATAGGGAAGAGGAGGGGGAAGAGGGAAGCAGGGGGGAAGGGAAAGGGGAAGCATGTCAGCTGAGGTGGCAGGAGGAGCACGTAAGGGGTAGGAGGTGAGGGGAAAGGGGAGGAGGGAAGATATGGAAATCAGGTAAGCAGGTGGGGGAGCAGGGAAAAGTGGTAAGGAAGAGACGAGAAACAGAGCAAAGAGGGGGAGAGGAGGAACGGGGGAAGGGCTCGGCCGTCAGAGAGAAAGGAATGAGGAGGGGGAGAGGGGGAGGGATGAGACACACATGAGAGGTTGAGACATGCAGCAATGGACAACACTCCCCCCTCAAATTCCTTTTTCCTGCCCTCCCTCCCTGCCTCATGCGGGAGGAAGAAAACGGGTGGGGGAAAGGGAGGAAGAGGACAACCATGAGGGGTAGGGGTTGGAAAGGGCGGGGGCGGGTGGAGGTTTGGCGAGAAGGGGAATAGAAACCAGGGCAAAGTGCGCAGAGCATAGGGCGCAGTGCATAGGGCGCAGAGCATAGGGCGCAGTGCATAGGGCGCAGAGAATAGGGCGCAGTGCATAGGGCGCAGAGAATAGGGCGCAAGGCGCAGAGCTCAGGGGACAGAACGCAGGGGGTGGAGCGCAGGGGGCAGAGCGCAGGGGGCGGAGGGGGCAGAGGGCAGGGGGCAGAGCGCAGAGCGCAGGGGGCAGAGAGCAGAGCGCAGGGGGCAGAGAGCAGAGCGCAGGGGCGCGGAGCACGTGTACCTATCCTGGCGTGGTGGTGCCTCGTTCCAGCGCCCTCTCCACGCCCGCTCCCTGCACGTCCAGCACCATTCCCCCCACCACCATGGGCGCGCCCAACCCCGCGCGCGCGGAGCAAGGCGCGCATCCCAAAATGTGCTGGTTTCGATTCTTACGTAGGAGCAACTGTAGGGTAACTTCTCGGTAATTTTTTGAAGACTTACTTCAAAGATTGTGGCCAACATTCCTGGTAGTAACTTTGGTTGGAATTGGCCCGATAGAGACTTCTTCAAAATTGTTGTCGCCCAATCGCAGCCGCACATCTACGTGCTATGGAAAATTTACCCCCTCGTAACTATGAACTGGTTTGACCAATCGCAACTCGTCATTCTCGATGCTAATTGATTTGGTTTGGGAAGCCGCGATTCGAGATTTGGCGTTGTAGGTTTCCCGCGTAGATTGGAACCGAGTGAAATTCATGCACGTGGTATGTTCTAATTCGTCGATGCAATGAATGAATAAATGTGATAGACTTTAGCCGTACACTTCTTTTTCTAATGCCGATAAACGAAGACTTCATTTATGATAATATCGAGCTCAATTGTTACTTTAACCGTGTGACCGTATCATAAGATTAATTGGTATTGATATCCGAAGTGTACATTTCTGGGTCAAATAAAAAAATATTTTTAAATCCTCATAAATAATGACAATTTCAAATTAACGGTACACGAAATTGCAACCCAAAATTATGAATCACAACGCAATATAACAATTTTACATGTGCTGCACTAATAAGCCCAACAATGGGATTACATAGGGAAACGGTTATTTGACATAAGACACGAATCCCACCAGCCTAGCTTGCACAACCTTATTCCTGACTGGCCTTCTGGATGAACGACTGTATTGGGAGAAAACAGAAGGGTGAGGAGGGTGTGGGGGAAAGCCGTAGGCACAGGAGGGGAAATCATTGGGGGTAGTCTGGAGCATGGGAGAGAAAACCAGAGATGGTGCAGTCGCACTCGGTAGCAGTAGCGCTACTCCCGGCGACACATACGCATCTCTCGCCGCCACTCTTGGCGGCAGAGCTGAAGGCACGAGGACATGGCTGCGGCGACCCATCGTCCGCACGCATTTACGCGACGAGGTGCAGTCGAGTGAGTTACGACAATGAAGTGTCGTAGAACCGTGGCGACGCTTTCTGGAATAGGGACTAGAAGGGAACGCGAAGAACGGGTAACGAAAAAACGAGTGAGAATCGGCAAAGCAGGAAACAACAAAGGCAATAAAACCCGTCGTAAAGAGGCAGAAAGCGCTGAAATTACGAGCCGAAGCATTGAACAGGTACGACGGATAGGACGTCGGCGTAACAAAAAGGCCAATAGGAACAGCAAGAATGCTTGATACGAAAATTCCAAACAACGATGAAATAACAAGGGAACTTATCAGCGCACCTCTCAGCGAAATTCCAGAATCATCTGCAAACATACTCGCATCGGTTCACACACTGTCAATGTTGCGCAGGAAGACCAACAGTTGGCAGCAAGGGCGAAATAATAGAAGCAGAAGACTGAAGACTAAGGACGCGAGACACAGCCATCGAACACCAAAGGCAAGGTGACTGAAAACCAACGGGTGTAAATCTAGAGGAAGAGGGAGCACAAGATGGCTCTCTGTCGTCAAGGAATGACTGTGGCTTGGGGCAGTTGAGCGCAATGCCTTGCATTGCTGTCATTTTGTCGTTTCGTGGTTAGTTTCATGTTCAAACCTTTTTTTTCACAACTGTATTGGGAACAAACAAGTACTGATTTCGAGAAAAGCAGAGGTGCAACGCACGGTGGAATGAAGTACAGTGGAATCTGGTGGGGGAAAAAAAAATACAAAGCTTCACCCAACAATCGCGCATGCAGCAAAACGTTCAAATGCGACAAACTACCCAATCAGCAGCAGCTTTCGCGCAAATTCGAGAATCGAGTCGAATCTCGCGAAAGCACAAGTTGCAGCGACTGTGCAGCACGCGACAAGCGACGCGCCTGTCACATGCTGTAATGACCAAAAGCCGAGGTACCTTCTATCTGCCCGTATAGTTGTTTATTTCTCTACAGTGTTGTCATATCGCGCTTCCACAGAAACAGCGACACAATTTTCCAAACATTCTCCTTAACCGAAGGATACCAGAACAGTTGCAAAAAATCTTGGAATAAAATAATGCAAGTGACACGTCACCCTTGTGCTAGTGTACAGTCCCACACATGTCGTTGCTGGCAGCCAGTTGTACATCCTCCGCACTGAAAACCGAAAACCGGTCCCATAGTGACAGCATTTCCCACTTGTCAAACACCTGCGCTTTGCTGTTCCTCTTCCCCAGAATAGGACGAGAAGAATGCAATGCGTGAGTGTCATGTCAAAATGAGAAACAGGAATGGTTGTGACTAGCAGGAACAACAGTACAAATATGAAACCCTGATCTGGTGTACCCCCTAAGGTGTAACCCACTACAGCCTAGAACCACATAAACATATAATGTTTGACACACCCCCATAGGCAAAGTGGGGCAGACCTAGGGGTCACAAGACCAGTCAAGGTAAAACAAGGCAAACAAGCTCAGGGTGGATCTCGAGGATTCCACACAAATTCCGAGCACAAGTAAGCGGTCACAAGACCAGTTCACATGCAGTTTTATAATAAAGCAAGAGGTACAATGATCACAACCTAGCAAGGGCAAACATGCAGGTATATTTATAATGATCACAGTACAAGCAAAGTCAAGAAGTAAGCAAGTGAGGAACAGTCGGCACAAGGCCTAGAAGAGTGCAAAAACGCTGATGGTCAACAGGCGGAAGCGCCTTGGTGAACACATCAGCAGTGTTGGCCTCAGTGGCCACGTAACGCAGAAGAAGCTGACCACGCTGCTGTAGCTCTCGAGCTAGAAAGTAACGCAGAGCAATGTGCTTCGTCCTGTGCTCCAGTCTGTGCTCCTGACACAAGGCTATGGTTGCCTTGTTGTCGACGTACAGCACTGGAGGAGAACGAGGCTGCTCTCCAAGGTCAGTCAGCAGGTAGGTGAGCCAGCGAAGCTCCTGGGCAGCCATGGCCGTGGCGTAGATCTCAGTCTCACAGCTGGAGCTGAGAACAGAAGAAGAACGAGTAGAACGCCAAGAGACAGAGCCAGAGCCAAGACTGAAGGTGTAACCCTGAGACGACTGCTGAGTAGCCTGGTCGTCTGCCCAAGAAGCGTCTGAGTGCCCAGTGAGAACAGGCCGGTCTCGCCCTCCAAGCACTAGCCCCATGCCCGACGTACTGCACAAGTAGCGCAACACCCTCTTAGCTGCATCCATGTGCTCCTTCCGGTGACGGCCAGGAGCGACATAGCGTGCTAAGATGCTGAGAGGGTATGCAAGGTCAGGTCGAGTGCAGGTCGTCAGGTACATGAGGCAGCCCACAAGCTCTGGATACGGACCACTCGGCTCTACGGACTCATCCGAAGGCAGAGCTGAGAGCGAGTGTCCCGTAGGCAGAGGAGTGGACTGAGGCGAGGAGTACGTGAAGCCGAAGCGCTGAAGGACCTGCTGCACCATGTGTGACTGAGTCAAGGTGATGGTGCGCCGTGCTCTGTCCCGGGTAATCCGCAAGCCAAGATAGCTTGTCAGTTCACCCAGGTCTGTGCAAGTGTGTCTCTTCTGCAGCTCGGACTTCACGTGAGCGAGACCAGCTGTGTCAGAAGTGGCAAAGACCAAGTCGTCGAC